AAATTGAAGGTAGAGCAACTGCCTTCCACTCTGTTACCGGTGTAGGGGGTTAAAGCTGTGGTTTTTTGAGGGGTTTAAAAAACCCCCCCCCCCTTTTGGGTAAACTACTCTAATGAGCGTTGGTGAGTCACGTCACGTGACCCACCTGACCTGTATGCTCAAGGTTGAGGGACGAGCAGTGAGAAAGTAGCAGCCAACGAGAAAAACCCTGCTCGTCCTGGAAACGGCAAAGGGTTGATTTTTCCAGCCGGGAAACTTTTTTCTTTTGTATTTTTGACTGTTTTCCTAATGGAAATAAGACCTTATACACTAAATAACCTCTGTATATATATGTTATGTCTGGGAACTAAATCCAAAACCATGTGTTAAAAAAGCCTTAAAATTATTTTTTCGGGAAAAAATAGAGAAAACAACATTCTTAACTTATTCGATAATTCGTATGGGTTTTTATTTTTGGGTTTTATGTTGAAATTATAAATATTTTTTCATAAAATAAGTTTTTCCAGATAAATTACTATTATTACCCCCCCAAACCTCTCGGCCAATGCGGGGTTATGCTCTAACCAAAGGGAAAACTATCTTGAGTGGTAATAAACCCTTGGATTAAACCCAATTCCTTTTACTATACCCCCTTTCAAACATCTGCCACATTGCCCCCCCCCCCTATCCACCCTGTCATCGGGCCCTTTTTCTAACCCTTAAATGCCACAAAAACCTTTTTTTAAAAACCCTTACTAAATACGTTTACCATTTATTTTTAAATTTTTAAATTATTTTTTCACATCACCCTGTCCCCCACCAAGGCAGGGGGCCTGAAATAAAAAAAACTTTCATCTTTTCACCCATCACTGTCTTTCGGGGCAACAAAAAAAGAAGGCTGGGCAAGGGAAAGGATGTCAGGTCGGGGGGAAAAGTGTGGTGGAATAAAGGGCAAGAATTCAAAATTTGGAAATTGGGAAAGGAGTGCGGGATTACCAAAACTAATTATCCAGAGGGCTGAGGGGGGGTTTTGTTGAGGGGTTCAGACATGTAAGAGGTTTAAAACAAAATAAAACGCTTTGAGGGGAAAAATCTGTAGTGGAGGGAAAGGGGGGGCAGGGGTCACCTGGGAAAGGTTGGAGGGGGGGGGTAAAGGGGGTTTTTGTTTTCCCGAGGGGCTTGGCCTTCCACCAAGCATACATGACCTGTTTGATAAAAGGGCAAAAGGAGCCCAAAGGGTTTTTAAAAATTTGGGAAGTGCTTTTGGGAGTGGGCAAGGTAAATATATAATGGGATTCGGGGAAAACCGGGGAAGCGGGACTTGAGCCCCCGGAGGGGGAATACAGGGGTCTGCCTCCCCCGGGGAAGGGGGGGTTTTTAAATTTTGGGAAAGTTTTATAACTGATGTAAGTGCACTTCTGGCAAACAGTGATGGAGTAATGTGTTGCAAGTTTTTTTTTTTTGGGGCCCTCTTCCTTGGTGGGGAGAATGGCTGATTTTGGTTAAAATAAAAAAAAAAAACTTACCTTCAACTTACTGCACTTTTTTCCTTTAGCTCTAACTATTAAAACCCTGACCAAACCCCCAAATTTTTTTTTCTCCCCACTGAAACTCTCCTACCCCCTTTCAGTTTTGGGTTTCACTTAGAGGCAGGACATCCAGCTTTTTTTTTCATTCATAACTTCCCCAATAAACCTCTTTCTTATCATTCACACTACAACCACGCACATTCAAACACCCCCCACTTCAAACGATTTTTTTCCCTTTTTCTTTTTATTTAGGCAAACGGGAAAAGGGGTTTACAAGCCCATTGCCCCCCGGCTTTTTAAAAGTTGACTTTTAAAACCCAAACAGGGTTTACAGAGGAAAAATTCTTATTCCACTTCCCCATGGATTTTAAAGAAAAAAAATAAAAACAAGAATTTAAAAGATGATGTGAATACATAAACATGAACATGCATGTGTAGTGTGACCTAAGTTTTAAGAAAATTTTGGCAAGACATACCTGAAACTTGCATGTTTAAGTCAGAAAAAAGAAAACCAAATAAATCCTACCATCTTTTAAAAAACAAAAAACGGGGCTTCTTTTTAAAAAAACTCACGGGCAGTACTGTAGTACCTCCCCGGGTGGTTTTTTTTCTACCAACCCCAATAAACCCGGAAAAATATACTAAATAATAACAATCATCACTGAATAAAAAAACAAATAATTATTGTAACTAACTTAAAAACCAGTGGGTGAAAAAAAAATAAATTTAAAACAAGTTACAGCTTTCCCGCCTTCAAGTTGGGTAAATTTTCTTAAAAATTTCCCTCTCTAAAATAATTGCTTTTGCATCATTATAAAGGTTTAAAAATTAATTTAAATCCAAAGGGGAAAACCCGCATACAGTCAATAAAATTTTTCTAAAACATTTGGGAAATTTCTGTTTTGTTACCAAATTTTTTAAATAACCTTTTTTTCCTCGTGAATAGTGTCCCCCTGTATTCACCAATGTCTGACAAGCCAAAGATAACACTAAACGGTCCTTTCTTTTTCTCCAAAAGATGAATGAGAAATTTTCAAAAGCCGAAAATTTTTTCGTTTAGACTCCAGCATTTTTCCCCCCCCAGAACTTCCACTTTTTGGTACTGGAGAAACCCCTCCATGCAAACCCGCTTCACCCTCAAGCAGTATTCCCAAACGAACTGCAAGAAAACTGTGTTTTTTATAGTATTGTCCTTTTAAAAAAGAAATTAATTAATGTAAAAGACAACTATTTCTTACAAGGAAAGCCCACAGCTATCCAAAATATTTTTAGGGATCTAAATTTAGGACTAACCCTTCAACAGTAAAATAAAATATGTAGAAATGGTTTTAGGGGAACCGAAAATGTTTTAAAAAATTTAAAACCCCATGTGCAACTCTTTTGGGGATCTTTATTTAGGAAACTTTCGCCACACAGGGCTTTATCAGTCCATACATAGGAGAAACTTGAAGAACAGGGGGGAGAATGATTAAATCAGTCCCCCCAAAACCTTTAGTCGATGTTTTTAGTCCCCCAATCTTGATTTAGGGGCTGAACTGGAGTGCTCAGTGGGCCTCATTAGAATAAATTGGCGGCCTAAATTTTTGTCATCACAAATTTTTCTTAGGGCGCTAAATTTTTTCCCTCATCTATTCATTTAAGTAAAATTTTTTTAACAACAACGGGCCCAAAACTGACCCCTGAGGGGCACCCGCTTGTGGGCGTGCCCCCATTTTGATTTCTTCCCCCTTTATTTAAACACCGCTGTCTAAATTTTCAGCCATCCTCTACCCAGGAAAAAAATTTTTCCCCTATTCCTGGGGCCTTAAGGTTTTTCCCCAATAGCCTCTGGGGGGAACTCTATCGAAACCTTAAAATTAAATCCCTTTTAAAACAATATCATATTCATTTTCCATGATCTACCTCCCAAACACCTTAAATGAAAAAAGTTAACAAATTTCGTAAAAACAAAAAAACCCCCTTTTAAAACCTGTTTTGAAATCATTAATCAATTTTTGCCTGTCAAGATGGGGTATGAAAATTTCTTCGGCCCTTTTTGATTCCATAAATTTTCCCACTATGGGGGTAAGACTTTTTGGTCAAAAGTTCCCAAAACCAAGGGCCCCGTCACCTGCCTTTAAAAAGGTAATTTCATTTGCCCCTTTTCCACTTAACAGGCACTATGCCAGTTTGTGTATATGTTAAAAAGATTAGCCGAAGGTAGGGAAATTCCTCTTTACTTTTCCTTTTAAAACCCTTTTCAAACATTTATTTAGGGCCCCCCGGGGGGTTTTTTAGGTTTTTGTTTCCATTGGGAAGAGGGAAACCATGGGGGGGACAGGGTTTTCCGGCCAATCGGGGGGGAAAATAGTTTTATTTTTTAGGGTTTCACATAAATCCAGTATTCAATTGGCAATTATTTTGGGGGGGGAAAATTAGGAGGAATAGGGATTTTTAAAGGGGTCACACAAATATTTGGGCAATTGGGCCCTGATCACCCAGGGAAAGGGTTTTAACCCCTTAAATGGCCAAATCTTGTCCCAATCTTTTAACTTCCAGTATCCTGAAAGGGAAACCTTTAGGGTTAATCTTTGGGAAACCCTTGTGACCTTAGCCCATAACCCTTTTTGCTTTTTTTATTTCCCTTTTTATTTCTCTCTTTTTTTTGAATATATTGATTTTTTAACTGCCCATCCCCTTTTTTTGATATGCCTATATATGCCTCTCTTTTGACCAATAGATTTTTAATCTATTGTTCATCCATTTGGGATCATTTTTTGGGAAATCTAAAATTTTCCCTACTCGGAACAAAAAATTGTCTGGGGCAGCTTAAAAACAATGCTCTGAAAAAAAATCATATTGGCAAAACCCCGATCACCTAGCTGACCCAAGTTTTGGACATCCTAATTTTCCCCCCCCAGGTAAAATTTTTTAGTCCCATGTTTTCAGCCAAGCGAAAAACTGGGAACAGAGATTTGATTGCAGTTATCTGGGTAATTCCCTATATATTAAACTAAGTAATTTGTAATCCCCCCTTTTTCCCCCAAACTTTATCTTAACCCCCAAGAAAAAAATTTAATTTTAATCTTTTTTTGGGAAGAACCAAATCAAGCAGATGGTTTCCTCTAGTTGGTTTCTGTACAACCCGTTTTAAAAGCAATCCTGAACCCTATCAAAAAGTCCCTAGATTCCCCGAATTTCCTGTTTCATTTTAAAATTTACCTGTTTTTTATTCCCAAAAAGTTTTCCATACCCACCTAAAAGTTGCTTTGGGTTTTTTATTTTAGCTTTCCCCCCTCAAACAAAAATTTTTACAAAAAACAAATGGGAGCCTGGGCACGGACTGGGGCCCCCAAAGGGGATTGACCCCCAGGGAAAACCCTCCAGGTATACTCCCATGTATCAGAACAATCACAAACTCAAATTTTAGGCAACACATTATGGCCTTATTCAAATTCCTTGACTTGCAATATTAATGCATTAAATGAAGAGCACATTTTTAACATGTTTAAACTATAGAGCTAAGAACTGATCATATTACCTGAGATCCTGAATAGAATTCTGCAGTTTTTCATTTAGAAATTCTATATCAGCAGTTATGTCCTCATCTTCAAATTTTCTTTGGGCTAAAATCTCCAGCTGTTTCAGAACCTGGTAATATAAAGTACATTCTATATAACATTTGGTAATAAAGCATATCTATAATCAGACATTAACATTAATAAATTATTATCATCATCTTTCAACAAACCAGCAATATCCCACCAAGACAGAGTGGCCCAAAAAGAAAAACAAAAGTTTCTCTTTTTAACTTTAGTAATGTATACAGGAGAAGCGGTTACTAGCCCCTTGCTCCCGGCATTTTAGTCGTCTCTCATGACAAGCATGGAACATTAATAAATATGAAATAGAAAAAAAGGAAAAGGTAAGTTCTTAAGTAATGCTTATTTCCAGGATATGGAGCAGAATAGGATGACTAACAGGGTGAATAACTCTGAGATGGAAAGAAGAAAGGGTAGGGGTCTTCTCAGAAAGGGGTCAAGGAAATTTTGAGTGCTAAAGGATTGAACATCTAACAGGCTTGTGTGAGCATGTTACATCAAGTGAGTGTAGACTAGTGGTTTTTATGCCCTGATGTGCCACTGTAGTGTGCACGAAGTAACATTTATGAAGGGATTCAGGAAAAACTTATTTACCCCTATCTCACCTATGGAATCTGTGCATGGGGCTCAGCAACAAAAAAACATCTCAGACCATTAATTACCCAACAAAAGGATGCAGTCAGAATGATAACAAATTCCTACTACAGGCAGCACACTCCACCAATATTCAAAACTCTAAACCTACTCACCATACAAAACATCCATACATATTATTGTACCTACTACATACATAGAACATTTAGCTCAGATATAAACCCTCCCCTCAAATGTATCCTTACCAACCTCAACAGAACACATGACCATAACACAAGGCACAGATCACTCTTTGATATTCCTTGTGTCCATCTCACACTATGCAAAAGCTCAATGCACATAAAAGGCCCAAAAATCTGGAATTCATTACCTGTGAATATAAAAGAAACACTGTCTGTTTATAAATTCAAGACTCTTCTTAAAAATCACTTGCTCACCCACAACTAAATAAATAATGAATAATTGTATCTCATAAATGTTTAACCTGTGACCCAATCAAACTTTGTTATTTTTAATTACATTACCTAACAGAATACTCCATCCTACTGAATGCTCAGCAACACAATAAATGACCATATGACCTGTCTTTGAAATACTCATTTGTGCTTAATTGTTAACTGTTTACAACAATGTTTACCACTGAATATATCATTGCTTAGTTAATCTTAAGTTAATTTTAAGCCTGCCCATAATGCTCTGCATACAAGGGGCTTTGGCATGTTACACTTAACCACTGTATTTCCTTGTACTTCTATGTATCATGTTCAAATTAATAAATAAATAAATAAAAAAACAGTTAGCCAGACTTGAGTCCCAGAGTCCTAAATTACTGGGAACACTCAAAGTCCCTCAATCTGTACATCTTGGAATGTAAGCAAGGTACATTACAATCTACACCTGGAAAATTCAAAGTAAGAGGCCTGGTAGATGATGTACAATACACTCAATGAATAGCAGAGGTGCAATGAGTATGCTAAGGAAAAACTCAATAAGCATGAAGAGACCAAGACTTTTCAATATCCTCTCTTTATACATAAAGGAGATTACCAACAGACCCCTTGGTTGTCTTCAAGAAAAAACTAGACAAGTGTCTTGAGTCAGTCCTTGATTACCTGGTATTTTTGCTGGACATCAAGCAGCTAGCACCAAAGCCAGGTAGACTCCAAATGGAAAATGCAGTGTCTGTGCTCTAAAGGAGGGTGCAGGTGCTGTACTTGAAGGGTCATCTAAAGTGTAATAACACACTTCTAAGACAGTGACTGAATGAATGACGGTGAATGTGTTTCCTTCTTTTTTTTTAACCATTCTGCCTCTATGGCAGATGGCCAGTGTTCAAAAATGAAGTTCATATAAAAAAAAAAGTTGAAATAAGGTCTGGTATCAGAATGTTACATTTACCCTATTTCTGTCATACCAGAAAACAATTAGAGATGGCCTCAGGAAAACAAATTAAGTAATATCAGTCACTAGAGGTACAGTTAACAAACAAATGGACTGACAAACTGCTTTCAAAGGAATTCATAAAAAAGGAAAAAAATCTAATGCGCTGTATCTTCTGTATCAATATAAATTGCTGCAAATGGGCATCCTGCTGGAGATGTAAAAGATGGCTAATGTAATTCTTATCTTCAAATCATGAGATAAAGCCATACTATCAAATCAACCAATAAGTCTGACCTCAGTAGTAGAGAAATTATTAGAATTGATAATAGCTGAAAGAATAAGCCACCTTGATGAGTATAATTTAACGAAGGAGTCTCACAACAGTTTCACAAAGGGGCTTTTCTTACTTAACTAATTTTATGACCTCCTTCAGCAGAGCATTTAAGGCAGTGGACCATAATAAAGAAGATATTATTTACTTGGATTTCAGTAAGACTTTTGGTAAGAGTCCCACACAAAAAACTGTTTCAGAAAGCAGCAGCACACAGTATGAGAAAAAAAAAATCAATTGAGACTGAGTAATAGAAAGCAGAGTTTGCAAACACAAAGTGAAATCACAATGAGGACAGCTACAAGTGGCATTCCATAGCAATCAATTTCAGGCCCATTGTTATCCATAATCTACATTACTGACCGTGATGACGAGAAAACAAAAAGCAACATTAGTAAACTTTCTGATAACATAAAAATAGGATGAATAACATTTGGAAGGTACTGTTGAACTTCAGGAAAAATTGGACAAGTTATTGACGTGGTCCAAAAAGCAGCATGTGCAGTTTATTGTGAAAATGAAACTAACCTGTATACACCTACCATCTGACTTACGACCTGCTCGACTTACAACCACTCGACTTACGACCGTGTTTTTTATGCCAAATTTCTGGGAAATAAACAACTATTTGTGTTGCATACAGTGTTAATCCTAAACCTTACAGTATAAAATACAGTGCTAACAACATAAAAAGTAAAGTAAAACATGAAATACCAAAATAAAACAATAAAATAAAGTCATTACAAAAATGTTTGGTTGATATTCAGTAGTAAAGTTCGACTTATGACCATTTCGACTTACGACCGGTTTCTCGGAACCAAACTCGGTCGTAAGTCGGATGGTAGGTGTACTTATAAACTAAGTAATGTAGAGCTTGAACATACAGAATGTGAAAATGAATTGTAAGTCATGGTAGGTAGAAATCTGAAACCAAGACAGTAGTGCCTAAATATATTACAGAATGAATAGAAATGTATTCAAGAACATACAGAGAAGATGACAAAATTAATCCACTGTAAAAGAATTATACATACAAAGATAGACAGAGAACTAAACCTACAGTCTTGAAAGACAGAATGAGGGGCAATATGACCAAAGTATGTAACAAAATATGTATGAAAAACAATAGATTTAGGTTAGATAAATTCAGGGTGTGTAAAGGTAGAAAGATTAAAGTGAACATCGATAAGAGTAAAGTGATGAGGGTATCAAACAATTTAGATAAAGAAAAATTGGATATCACACTGGAGGGACAGAGTATGGAAGCGAATGTGTTCAGATATTTGGGAGTTGACTTGTCAACAGATGAGTTTATGAAGGATGAGATTAACGATAGAACTGATTAAGGAAAAAAGGTGACTGGTGCACTGAGGTATCTGTGGAGACAAAAAGACGTTATTCATGGAGGCAAAGAAGGGAATGTATGAGAGTATAGTGGTACCAACACTTTTATATGGGTGTGAAACATGGGTTGTAAATGCTACAGGAATGAGGAGGCTGGAGGCAGTGGAGATGTCATGTATAAGGACAATGTGTGGTGAAAATATTATGCATAATTCACAGTATGGAAGTCAGGAGGTGTGGAGTTACTTAAAGTATTATTCAGAGAGCTGAAGAGGGGGTTGTTAAAGTGGTTTGGTCATTTAGAGAGAATGGAACAAAGTAAAATGACTTGGAGACTGTATAAATCTGTAGGGAAAGGAAGATGGGGTAGGGGTTGTCCTAAGAAAGATCGGAGGGAGGGAGTAAGGGAGGTTTTGTGGGGAAAGGGCTTAGACTTCCAGCAAGCATGCGTGGGTATGTTAGATAGGAGCGAATGGAGATGAATGGTTTTTGAGACCTGATGAGCTGTTGGAGAGTGAACAGGGTAATATTTTGTATTGGTAGTTTGGAGTGACAGCTAAACTGTTGTATGTGAGCACCTCTGCAAAGATAATGATTATGTATGAATGATGGTGAAAGTGTTGAATGATGGTAAGTGTTGAATGATGATGAAAGTTCGTTCTTTCTTTTTGGGTCACCCTGCCTCGGTGGGAAATGGCCGGTGTAAAAAAAAAAAAAAAAAAAAAAAAAAAAAAAAAAAAAAAAATTTAAAAGAATACAGGAAAGTAGGGTTTAATAATCCGCAATTAGTCATGGAAGCTAATAAATTGGGGAGCCATAAAAAAGTACAAGTGAGAAGGGTTGAGTCTGAGAAGAAACTACCTAGAATGAGTCAACAGAGCTATCGCAGTTTTACATTTACATTTAAAGTTTTACATTTACATTTAAACCATTACAGTTTTACATTTTTCACATAACATTAAAACATAAGAAAGAACACTGCTGGTCCATACAAGGCAGATCCTTCTCAAACTCAAACTCACTAACAAAGATATCTGCCTAATTCATTTTCAGTGCTACTTGAGGAACAAGCCTTGATAACCCTACTCACCCAAGTGTACATCCCACCCTAATCCAACCTCCTCTCACTCATACACCTACATTTTTTTCTTCAACAAACCAGCCATATCCCACCCGTGGTATGGTCTGCTTGCAACTGTCATTACGATTTCATGAGTCATATCCCACTGAGGCAGGGTGACCTTAAAAAGGAAAAACACGAGTTTCTCTTTTTAAATTTAGTAATTTATACAGAAGGGGTTACTAGCCCCTTGCTCTCGGCATTTTAGTCGCCTCTTATGACACGTATGGCTTACAGAGGAAGAATTCTGTTCCACTTCCCCATGGAGATGCATCTATTCATATGTCTAAATTCTTTTATTGTAAATAATGTACGTACTAATGTTGCATGACATTCTTAGATGATTTCAAAAATATTAATTTCAATCTGTTCCAGTCCTAGAAATACAAATATGTTACAATTCATTATTATATACTTATTTCCTCTAGAAACCAAACACATCTTAATCTACAGCTTCTAGGAAGCACCGATAAAGTCTCACCTTACACTGAACCATCTGAATGCAATTCTCTCGAGCAATAGAAGGGTCCTCAGGCTTCTCAATGAGGTTCCTGAAGACTGCTAATACAATGCGAGTAACTTTCTCTTTAATGCTCTCACTTAAGATGTCTGCTAGTGTGGGGATTACACTGTACCTAAGAAGAAAAATATGCTCAAGTTAGGCAACTAAATTTTACGCAGACACAAAAAAAAAAAAAAAAAAAAAAAAAACAGGAAATACAGTGGACCCCAGGTTCTTGTAATTAATCCATTCCAGAGAGAGTGACTAAACCCGAATCTTACGAATTCCAAATTAATTTTCCCCATAAGAAATAATGGAAATCCAATTAATCCATTTCAGACACCCACAAGTATTAAAAAAAATGTTTTCTACAAGAAATATATAATAAACTACACAGAAAACAATGATACATGAAGAATAAAGCAATAATAACATCACACTTACCTTTATTGCAGACATGGTGATGTAAGGAAGATGGGAGGAGGGGAGAAGATAGAAGAGTTTACAACTGTTTGAAAGGGAAATCCCCTTCCATAAAGACTTCAAGTACCAAGTCTTTATCCTTGGTTACTTCCCTTTTTTTTTTTTTTAATGCCACTAGGACCAGCTTGAGAGTTACTGGACCCCTGTTGCTCAAAAAAGTGTTCCAGAGAGGTCTGTTTCTGGTGTATGTTAGGAACTGTGTTGGGAAACAGGACAAGATAGTCCTTCAATATGACACTAATATCAGCTCTGTCACTTTTTTTTTTTTTTAACAAGTCAACCATCTCCCACCAAGGCAGAGTAACCCAAAAAGAAAGAATATCCCCAAAAAGAAAATACTTTAATCATCATTCAACACTTTCACCTCACTCATTCATAATCACTGTTTTTGCAGAGGCGCCCAGATACAACAGTTTAGAAGCATATATAAAGATATATAACATATCCCTCCAAACTGCCAATATCCCAAACTCCTCCTTTAAAGTGCAGGCATTGTACTTCTCATTTCCAGTACTCAAGTCCAGCTATATAAAAATAACCAGTTCCCCTGAATCCCTTCACTAAATATTATCCTGCTCACACTCCAAACAGCTTGTCAGGTCCCAAATACCATTAGACTCCATTCACTCCTATCTAACACGCTCACACAAGCTTGCTGGAAGTCCAAGCTCCTTGCCCACAAAACCTCCTTTACCCCCTCCCTCCAACCTTTTCGAGGACGACACCTACCCTGCCTTGCTTCCCCTACATATTTATACACTCTCCATGTCATTCTACTTTGATCCATTCTCTCTAAATGACCAAACCACCTCAGCAACCCCTCTTCAGCCCTCTGACTAATACTCTTATTAACTCCACACCTTCTCCTAATTTCCACACTCCGAATTTTCTGCATAATATTTACACCACACATTGTCCTTAGACAGGACATCTCCATTGCCTCCAACCGCCTCCTTGCTGCAGCATTTACAACCCAAGCTTCACATGTAAGCGTGTTGGTACCATTATACTTTCATACATTCCCTTCTTTCCCTCCATAGATAACGTTATTTGTCTCCACGAATACCTCAATGTACCACTCGCCTTTTTTCCTTCATCAATTCTATGGTTAACCTCATCCTTCATAAATCCATCCGCTGACACGTCAACTCCCAAATATCTGAAAACATTCACTTCTTCCATACTCCCTCTCTCCAATGTGATATTAAATTTTTCTTTACCTAAATCATTTGAAACCACTAATCACTTCACTCTTAGCTATGTTCACTTTCAACTTTCTACCTTCACACACCCTCCCAAACTTGTCTGCTAACCTTTGAAACTTTTCTTTAGAATCTCCCATAAGCACAGTATCATCAGCAAAAAGTAACTGTGTCAAATCCCTTTTTCTATTTGATTCACCATAATTTAATCCCACCCCTCTCCCCAACATCCTAGCATTTACTTATTTTACAATACCATCTATAAATATATTAAACAACAATGGTGACATTACACATCCCTGCCTAAGACCTACTTTTACAGGGAAGTAATCTCCCTCTCTTCTACACACCCAAACCTGTGCCACACTATCCTCATAAAAACTCTTTATAGCATTTATTCCATATACTTGCAGCATCTGCCACATTGCTCTCCTATCTACTCTATCATATGCCTTTTCTAAATTCATAAATGCAATGAAATCTTCCCTACCTTTATCTAAATACTGTTCACATATATGCTTCAATGTAAACACTTAATCTACACATCCCCTACCTACACTAAAGCCTCCTTGCTCAACTGCAATCCTACTCTCTGTCTTACCTCTAATTCTTTCAATAATAATCCTACCATACACTTTACCTGGTATACTCAGTAAACTTGTTCCCCTATAATTTTTACAATCTCTTTTGTCTCCCTTCCCTTTATATAAAGGAATTATACATGCTCTCTGCCAATCCCTAAGTACCTTCCCCTCTTTCATACAGTTATTAAACAAAAATACCAACCACTCCAACACTATATCCCCTCCTGCTTTTAACATTTCTGTCAAGATCCTGTCAGTTTCAGCTGCTTTACCCCCTTTCATTCTACGTAATGCATCATGCACCTCCCTCACACTCTCATCCTGCTCTTCTTCACTCCTAAAAGATGTTATACCTCCCTGTCCAGTGCATAAAATTACTGCCTCCCTTTCTTCATCGACATTTAAAAGTTCCTCAAAATATTCCCGCCATCTACCCAATATCTCCTGCTCCCCATCTACTAACTCCCCTACTCTGTTTTTAACTGACAAATCCATTCGTTCTCTAGGCTTTCTTAACTTGTTTATCTCACTCCAAAATTTTTTCTTATTTTAATCAAAATTTCTGAAGAGTGCCTCTCCCACTACCATCTGCTCTCCTTTTGAACTCTCTCACCACTCTCTTCACCATTCTCTTACTCTCCATATACTCTGCTCTTCTTATAACACTTCTGCTTTGTAAAAACCTCTCATAAGCTACCTTTTTCTCTTTTATCACACCCTTTACTTCATCATTCCACCAATCACTCCTCTTTCCTCCTGCACCCACCCTCCTATAGCCACAAATTTCTGCCCCACATTCTAATACTGCAATTTTAAAACTATTCCAAGCCTCTTCAACCCCACCCCCACTACTCATACTTGCACTATCCCATCTTTCAGCTAGTGCTTATATCTTACCCTAACTTCCTCCTCCCTTAGTTTATACACTTTCACCTCTCTCTTACTTGTTGTTGCCATTTTCCTCTTGTCCCATCTACCTCTTACTGTAACTGTAGCTACAACTAAATAATGATCCGATATATCAGTTGCCCCTCTATAAACATGTACATCCTGGAGCCTACCCATCAACCTTTTATCCACCAATACATAATCTAACAAACTACTTTCATTATGTGCTATATCATACCTTGTATATTTTATTTATCCTCTTTTTCATAAAATATGTATTATTTAATACCAAACCTCTTTCTACACATAGCTCAATTAAAGGTCCCCCATTTTCATTTACCCCTGGCACCCCATATTTACCTACTACTCCCTCCACAACATTTTTACCCACTTCAGCATTGAAATCCCCAACCACAAGTACTCTCACACTTGGTTCAAAACTCCCCATGCACTCGCTCAACATTTCCCAAAATCTCTCTCTCTCCTCTACACTTCTCTCTTCTCCAGGTGCATAAATGCTTACTATAACCCAATTTTCACATCCAACCCTTATTTTACTCGGCATAATCCTTGAATTAATACATTTATATTCCAGTAAGCGTGCGTGAGCGTGTTAGATAGGAGTGAATGGAGACGAATAGTATTTGGGACCTGACGAGCTGTTGGAGTGTGAGCAGGGTAATATTTAGTCAAGGGATTCAGGGAAACCAGTTATTTTTATACAGCCAGACTTGAGTCCTGGAAATGGGAAGTACAATGCCTGCACTTCAAAGGAGGGGTTTGGGATTTTGGCAGTTTGGAGGGATATGTTTTGTATCTTTATTACGTATAAGCTTCTAAACTGTTGTATTCTGAGCACCTCTACAATAACAGTGATTATGTGTGAGTGAGGTGAAAGTGTTGAATGATGATGAAAGTATTTTCTTTTTCGGAATTTTCTTTCTTTTTGGATCACCCTGCCTCAGTGGGAGACGGCCGACTTGCTAAGAAAAAAGAAAAAATTCAGATGAGTGTGTATACATAAACTTACTTTCTTTCAACAAAACCAGTCGTATCCCACCAAGGCAGGGGGGCCCAAAAAGAAAATCTAAAGTTTCTCTATTTAAATTTAGTAATTTGTACAGAAGGGGTTACCAGCCCCTTGCTCCTGGCATTTTAGTCGCCTCTTACAACACGCATGGCTTACGGAGGAAGAATTCTGTTTCACTTCCCCATGGAGGTAAGAGGAAATAAACAAGAACAAGAGCTAGAAAGAAAATAGCAGAAAACCCAGAGGGGTGTGTAAATATATGCTTGTACATGTATGTGTAGCTTGACCCAAGTGTAAGTAGTAGTAGTAAGACGTACCTGAAATCTTGCATGTTTATGAGACAAAAAAAAAAAAACACCAGCAATCCTACCATCATGTAAAACAATTACAGGCTTTCGTTTTACACTCACTTGGCAGGACGGCAGTACCTCCCTGGGCGGTTGCTGTCTACCAACGTACTACATGTATGCTGCAGAAAAGAAATAATTTTTTTATTATTATTACTATTACTATTAAGAAGGCAGTGTTCACCCACAGACTGAAAGATTCAAACATTTTACTAGTGTAACTTCTGTTACTCATGTTATGAGTACATATCTCTAGCTGTCTTTGTATAGTTCCAGACACAAAGGTGAAGCTTACTTATTCATTTTCTCAGCAATGGCATTGTTGAATGTCAAAACCCAAAGGCAGAAAGTCAGCTGATACTGAATCTGGAAGTTGAGTTTGCCCGTGCTCAGCACCTGTTGGTTTGAAATTCAGGTTACTAGAAAAGCTCAACACTTCTTTATTTCACTACATTATATTTCAATTTGACTATCTGTATACACAAGGAATAAATGAAAACAAAAGATGGTAGCACAGTGACACTTACATAAATAACCCGTACATAAGAAAATGAAATTTATGACAATGTTTCAGTTCAAGTAGGACCATAAACTAGTCAAATGTGGTCATATATTTCATTCTCAGATGTGCAGGTTACTTGTGTATCATTCCAGTCACGGCATTGTGCCTTTTTATTCTTTATGGTGACTCTTTTCATTATTATTAGTCATGGGTAGTGCTTAACCCTTTGGGCTATACCTTGTCTTGTAAATGGTAGACAATCATGTTTGCTCCACACATGAGAAGGATAGCTCAATTTTTAATAGTTGATGATGTGGGAATATCAGTGATGACTCACAATCAGCAACTGGAAACTTTATTAAGATGACACTCCACCTGTGCAGCAGGCTTTATCAAGTCTTACTGACTTAAAGCCTGTTTTGTAGGCAAAAATGTCATCTGTATAAAGTTTTCAATTGCTGCTAGTGTCTTTATCAACTAGAGCTCCAATATGTTGGATCAAGAGTCCTTCACCAACATCAAGACACCCCAATTCAAAAGAAACAGGGATAATGATATGCTATGAGATACTATGGACCTAGGATACCACATGCGAACATTGTCCACATAGGTTTTAACAATTCAGAGAAGAATGTAAATGAAGATGAAGATGATATTCAATGCTCACAAAAAATAAAATGAAAATCAAATCAGAATTATATGAATAAATGTATCAAATTTTCTTCTGTAACCAATAATGAGGATGTGCAACATCTTGCCAAATTAAGAGTGGTCAATGGATCTGTCCTTGGATCAATAAAAATTGGAAATAAGAGAAAATGGATAAATCTGTGGTGAGAACTTCAAATATACAAACCAGCTAGAGCTCTATAATTAAGATTTAGTACTAAAAAGTTAAACACACATTTTACTGTTATTAACCCTTAAACTGTCCAAACGTAGATCTACGTTGACGTGCGGAGTGCTCCGAACGTAAATCTACGTCCGATTTTATATGCTTTCAAATGGAGAAAATCAAGGTAGGAGCGCTACGCACGTCAACGTAGATCTATGCTTTGGGCAGTTTAAGGGTTAAACTGCAAATGTATATTTAACAGTTTGTTATCAAAAGTTAATTTCTTATGGACATAATGTATATAGTATTTTTAATGTAAAAACTGTAAGGTAATTAATAAGCAAAATAACACAGCACATAGAAATCCTTCAGATTAATGTTACTGTCATCCAAGGTTATTATTTTATTTATTTATTTATTAGGCAACAACTTGGCTAATAAAAGAAAAATATTTTTTTATTTATCTTGTCATAATTTTTAATCAAATGCATTTATAATTTGCTCACACACCGACACATCAGATCATAAAAACAAACTTGCCTCCATTCCTATGTAACGCGCTCCCACGTATCTATTGAATGTCATACACAAAACCACCTTTATCCCATTCCTCAAATGTTTCCATGGATGACTCATTACCCTCTTTTCCCTCCACCCCAGAATTATACTCTCTCCTGTGCATCCTATTTTACTCCATCCTCTCTAATTGTTCAAACCACATCAACAACCCCTCTTCAGCCCTCTGAGTAATGACCTTGGTAACCGAACACCACTTGGGTACCACTATTCTCAGGTATACATGTATAAAAACTAAAGTAATAAAAGTAAATGTAACTGCAATACTGTACATACAATTAATTTAGGAAAAGGGGACACAAAATATATTAAGGCATATTTTATTTGGACAAACTTTACTACTATAACTTTTAACATTGCAACACACACTACTACCTTAAAAGTAGAAACCTGACGAACCATTTCCTCTTCTACTTTTTGGAAATACACTTATTCCAGCTTAGATACACTCTCCTTTTCTTGCAACTTAAGCAAATTATGCTGCATTATAATCCAATTAATTAGCATTATAGATTTTATGGAAATGTTTGATGCTGCCTGCATCCAAAGGAATTGAGTTTATATATGCTACTAGATAAAAGAAATTCAGGTGCAGAATCTAACCTGTACGATAGTAACCACACCATCTAGCTGGTAGAAAATGGTGCGATACTCCTCCACTCTCAGCATCATCTGCAGACACCGCCCCACTGACTGCATGTACTCATTATTCTGTGAATATTATACTTACTTTAATTCTTATACTCAATCTAAATGCAATGTTAAGTTAATACACCATATGATGGAATATCACAATATGATGGAGGCCACAATGAGGTTCACTCCAATCCAAAATGTGATTAAGAAAAATACAGCTAGTTACAGCCCTTGGTTCAAAAGACTGTGGTACAACACTAGAAGAGAATGCAAGAAGCAGCATGCACTATAACCACAAGGAATTACAAAACAGATTACACACTGAAGCCAGGACACTAAAAGCCCAGCTCTGTAATTTTTTTTTTAAACACACTGGTCATCTCCCACTAAAGTATAAGTGATCCAAACAAACACATCACAATACAAGTTACTGTACCCATCAAACAGCAACAATTCCATCCATTAAATTTGTTTTCTGCTTACTCTATGGAACAATTCTCCATGTTAAACTACCTGTACTTTAATTTCATTTCATAAAATTTATTATCAAATTTATCACCTACTATTGTGACCAATTCTCTCTTCATATTACTTAAATCGTAATCACTAAGAAAGCAAAACCTATTCAGAAACATTTTTCACATTCCATAATCAATATCTATGATTCGATCCACGTTATCAGCTGTAACACCAAATTTAGACGAGAGGAAATATTTCCACTGTTTGTACTGAAGGAAATGCTGGATTCTCAACAGGCAAAGTATCCAGTGGGAAGAGTGGTACCCCTTCCAGAGAAGGGGTACCATTACTGCTAGGCAAAAATCACTCAATCCCTACCAGAGCATAAAGGTTACTAAAAATTGAGGGGGGGAGGAGGAGTCAACTATGCAGTAAGGCAACTTAAAATTTTTTTTTTTTTCAACAAGTTGGCCGTCTCCCACCGAGGCAGGGTGACCCAAAAAAGAAAGAAAATCCCCAAAAAGAAAATACTTTCATCATCATTCAACACTTTCACCACACTCACACATTATCACTGTTTTTGCAGAGGTGCTCAGAATACAACAGTTTAGAAGCATACGTATACGTATAAAGATACACAACATATTCCTCCAAACTGCCAATATCCCAAACCCCTCCTTTAAAGTGCAGGCATTGTACTTCCCATTTCCAGGACTCAAGTCCGACCATATGAAAATAAATGGTTTCCCTGAATCCCTTCACTAAATATTACCCTGCTCACACTCCAACAGATCGTCAGGTCCCAAGTACCATTCGTCTCCATTCACTCCTATCTAACACGCTCATGCACGCTTGCTGGAAGTCTTAAAAGTATTAGAATAAATTCCTTTAACCCTTTCAATGTCCAGACCCCCCTATCCAAAACTTGTCCACACTGTCCAAGAATTTAAAAAAAAAAAAATATTTTTTCGTATGAAATGGTAGAGAATTGTTTTCTGAAGATAATAAAATAAAAAGTAAGAAATTTGATGGAAAATTCACAAAATTAAGCTTTTGCGAATTTTACTGTCAGTGATATTTATGCATCGGTGATTATGCCCACTCTGAATCCTAATTTAGACCAATTACATTGTTCCAGTCGACCAAATTCTTAGCTATTTCACTACTGTGTCTTCCATTTTATTGACTGAGCACAAGAAATCTCCCAATCAACTATTTCAGCTACCCAGTAAAGTGATCAGAAATTGGTAATTTGGCCAATTTCACACAAATTTCCAAATATTGCAATTTCAAAATGCAATGCAGGCATTCCTGGCACTAAAATAACATTTTCTGTTCATTAGTTACGTTCCTGGGCTTTACACATGAATTCCATTTTGATTTTCTTTATTCACACAACAAATTTTTATTCACACACAAAAATAGAGGATTTACTGTTATGCAACACTGTATTAATTGTATAAATAATATCAGCACATTCATGAACATGTATTATATTGACTAGTTAGATGTGTATTGGATCGGTGATGTGATTTGTTTACTCTTGAATATCGGCAAAAATCGAACATTTCTGAGCTCAATTTCAAACTACTTTAAATCCTGAAAACAATCAAAATAATCTCTATTTCTGTAATATTTCTTCCATTCTATAAAATGAGATCAAGAAACTGAGAATATAACCATAAAAACCATATGAAAATACACTGCCTAATCTGTTTTAAACCAAAAACAGTTGCAGTTTTTTTTCTCATTATGCACTACATGATGCAGGATTTTTTATATAGTGCACACTTACCACATGGACCCATTTTCTCATATCTAGGCCTAAATTTACTACTCACAGCTTATCTGAGTGAGATGAACTCATGGCGTAGTACTACAGCACAGCATGGACAGTGATCTCTTAGCCGTCATCCTACAGCACAGCCAATTATTATTATTATAATAAAAAAGAAGTGCTAAGCCACAAGGACTATACAGCAGCACAGCCAATGAAAGAGTTAAATACAACCAAAAATAACACTGGAGAACAAACTTACAGGTGTGCGAAGCTGATCCTTTAACCAGGTCAGGTAGAAAGTGAGGTCTGAACCATCCATTGGCTCACGGGACCAACAGGCCAACTTGGCAATGATGCGAGCAGTCATATTGATAATGAACGTATCCGGTCGGGTCAGCAAATTGAGGAAAGGGCTCCACATGCTTTCACGGTTTTTTCGTGCACACTCTTTAAAAATTTCTACACGGGATTTTTCTTCCTGAAATTAAATGAAATAGAACATCTTACAATTAGAAAAGAACATAAAAATAAATCTGCAGTAATAAACATTCTGTCCAGTAATATTCCTCATTCAAAATACTGTATGCAAGGTGTGACTAAATTTATAAAAAAAATCATAAATCAAACACACCACTGCTATTTAAGAACAAAATTTAATACGATTTTTTTCATATACATGACATGCCAATGTCATTGAACAGGTGTCCCTCATTTTGGGTGTTAACCCTTTGAGGGTCGACAGGCCCTCTCCGAGATTCGTTCTCAGGGTCGGCCAAATTTAAAAAAAAAAAAAAATTCTTATGAAAAGATAGAGAATCTTTTCCCGATCATAATGACACCAAAAATATGAAATTTGATGGAAAACTTACAGAATTATGCTCTCGCGAAGTTAGCCGTCTCGGCGATGTTTATGGATCGGCGATTTTGCCCACTTTGAGCCCAATTTTCGGCCAGTTCCACTGTACTAGTTGACAAAAAACATGAATATTTCGCTAGAACTGCATTTTTTCTATTGATTGAGTGCAAGAAACCACCCATTTACTAATTTCAACTATCAAGTACAGTGGTCAGAATTTAGCAATTTTGCCAATTTCACACAAATTTCAAAAGATGCCAATTTCCGAATAGGGTCCTGAACAAACAAGAAATACATTCCTGGCACTAAAATGACATTTCCTCAGTTCATTAGTCACGTCTCAAGGCCCCACTTACATTCTTTTGCTTTCCACTTTGAATTTTTATTCTCACAAAAAATAGAAGATTTACTGTTATGCAGACTACTGCATTAGTGTAAAAAATGGTATGAATCATATTGGCGCACTTGCAATGGAATATTAGACTCACCAGTTGACGTGTATTGGACGCTTGGCATGATTTGTTTACTTTTGAACTTTGGTAAAAATCGAACATTTCTGCTACTTTGAGCTCAATTTCAAGGTACTTTTCATTGTAAAACCAGTCAAAAGCATCTCAATTTCTATGATATGCCTTCCATTCTATAAAATGAGACCAAGAAAACTAGAATACAACAATAAATACCATACGAAAATACAGTGCAAAGTCGCTGTTTTATTTAAAAAAAACAGTCAAATTTTTTTTTTCTCATGCACTGTGTGCTGCAGGATTTTTTTTATACCATGCACACTGACCACATAGACCCATTCTTTCATATGGAGGCCTACCAGCTTTCTCCCACTAGATTTGAGGGCGCTAGAATTTAGGTGTACTAGAACGTCAAAAACCCTGGGTCGTAAGCCGTACTAGAACGTCCGAAACCCTCAAAGGGTTAAGAGGTATTCCTGGCCCATGATAATAAAGTGAATTCAATAACATATACAACATAGAGATTTGTCTGGAGACAGCAAATTCTACATTCTCTGACTAACATTTACTGAAAAAATGAACTTGCCGCACATGCAATAAATGGTCACTAAAAAAAAAAAAATTATATGGAGTTGATGGATGAAAACCAAGAAAAAATCCAATTATAATTCCTATACCTTACAATACAAAATTCAGAAAAAAAAATTCACATTTATTTATTTTACAAAAAAAAAAAAAATTTACGAGTATACCAGAGAGTGAACAGCCATGTTCCTAAAATAAAATCATAATCCTTGTCTTTGAATTGAAATGCATACCTTAAGAACCTGGGAAACAACCAGGCAATGTATGATGCAGTGAAAGGGCTAAAAAATTAAAAACATGCCATTTATTAACCTATGGCTTGTGGAGTTGGCTTTCGTTTATTTAAACACGAAAAATTGAAGAGATTGAACAAAATATTTATCTGAAACATACAACCTACAGCACAAACAAATTTCACACTCACAGAGAGTATGTCATCAACCAGAATGAGGATGTACTGAATGGTCTGGTCCTTGCTAATATGACCCAAGAGGTTCATGAAGGTTCGAGCCACCTGAAGACGACGAGAGTTGAGAAGAATTTGTCGGTTCTGACCGGGCACTTCAACTGCCATGATGACTTCGTAGTCCTCCTGGGTGATCATCTGCGACCTGGAATAAAAATCTCATAAGCCCTTTTACTGTCACGGCCCCCAAAATTAAAATGGCCGATAGTGTCATGATTTAAAATAAATTAGATAAATTAACAAATTAAATAAAATAAATTAATAAATTCAATAAACAGACCCAAAAATATGGAGCTCACTACAAGATGCTTTTAAAAGTTTACTCTGTCAACTGCTTCAAAAATACTTAAAAAAAAAAAATCTGTACTTAACTCACTGCAATTTTATGAACATTGAATTTAAATGCAAAATACATCTATTGTAATCTGCTTATCCAGATTTCAATCAGCATTAAAAAATCATGCACTTGTCTCCACTATATTTCTATCAAAAATTTTCTTGCTCAAATTGTCTATGCTGTTTTGTTACTGTCAGTTATTAGCATTGATGTTTTAGTAAAAGTTTTCTTACTTAGAATGATCAATGCATTTAAGAATCTAATTTTCAGAAAACTTAGCTACTTTAAACTCAGCATTAAAATAATCTAACTTTAAATTAATCAAACTCTATTCATTGTCAAGTAGTAGTTACAAGTTCTAGTTTCAATATACCTGAGCTTTGTATAACTATGGGCTTTTCCATGTATGGTACAAGCACTGTAAACCAGTTTTCATAATGCAAACATATTTTCTTGGAAAATAAACTTAGCTATACTTTCCTGCATGTTTCACAATACAGTGGTTCTTAGTCCATTAGTATTTCCTTTCAATTTCTGAGAATGGGTCATGGGGATAATGATCTCCCGAATCATATTAACCCTTAAATTGTCCAAACACAGACCTATGTTTTCACTGCCAGCACTCCAAAAATCTTTTTTTTTTTTTTTAACTAAAGAGGGCAATTTTCTGTGTAATAAAACCCCAAAAAAAAAATTTAGGATCAGTACTTGCCAAGATATAAGACCGCGAAGTTGGTACTGGATGCTCACCTGCCCGAAGTTGGCACTGGTTGCTCACCTGATGGCAACATGGAGTCCTGCAGCTTGCAGAAGTGTTGCCAATATACCTTTTTTTCTTTTTTAATTTATATAATTTTTTTTGTTCTGATAATTACAAATTTTAGTAGTTCTTGTGATTTCATAGCCAATGTTTGTTCTGACACTAACATTAGGTACTCAAATAGTCATAAACACACTGACATGTGAATATTTTCACCTGCTTTGGTAACCTACTATTATCTAGAAATATATACATAGTATTTATAGGTCCCAGCAACATTTAGAAATGCTGGAGTATATATGAAACTCCTTGAAGCAACACTGTGTAAGACGAGTGTCACTCCATTGCTGACAGTGCAGCAGTGAGTGACACTTGATGATAGTGCACTGCCTTGGCTTTGTTTGTCTTCACTGTTACATATAAACATGTCTATCTGTTTGTCTGTCTAGCTCTCTCTCTTTATCTCTGTCTCTGCTTATCTTTCTCTCTGCCTGTGTGTGTGTCTTCCTGTCTCTCTGTCTGCTTGTCTCTCTGTCTCACAGAGCCACTCATGAACTAACAGGGATTACACATGATGCAGAGTCGTCACGTCTGATTCCTGAACAAGTGAAAATGCATATTACTTGCCAGTCATGCTTATTATGCCTTATATCTACAAGCACAGTATAGCACTTTGGATTTTTTGGGTTATCCTAGATAATTTACACTATGTATAATAACTATTTATGTTTACCTGTGAGGTAGAGACAGAGAGAGAGACAGGCAGACAGAGACAGCCAAAGTCAATCAGTCACCTGGCCAGCCAGCCACCCAGCCATCGGCCTGCCAAACACGTATTACACATGTTCCAGAATCGTTTCTCTTTTTTTTAGGGCATAGGTTATAGGACATTCTGGCAGGATGACACTACCAGTGGTATCAGAAATGAAAGGATGTTGCACAAATGTTCCACATGGGTTATTATCGAGGTTTTTGATATATCCTCACCCACTTGTGGCCACATCCATCTCAAAGCCACTAAACTTTGGGTCAACATCACTTTCCTCTTATAAGGGGAGTGTTAATACGACACGCCATCAGTGAATCCCCAGTGTTTGCCACACTATTTGCTCTAGCTGGTGCTCCCACAAGGACTAAGTGGTTCCTGATTCTTTTAATACTGCACACACCAAGCATTAAGACCCATTCTATACTGACCAGGCATCTCAGGCCAACTGTGCCAAATTTGAAGGTAGATCTATGTTCGGAGCACTAGTGGTACAAAAGTAGATCTACATTTGGGCAGTTTAAGGGTTAAATATACGTAATATATAAACAGAATTACTTTTACGTTCATATGCCGAGCACTAAACCTGTTGGGGCCACAGTGGCTGGATACATTGGAGGCAATCAGATTCAATCCAAGGAAAGCACGGAACAGAACACAGATGAAGTAAAAGCGCATATTAACCCTTTCAGGGTCTGTCCCGTAGATCTACGGCTTTACGTTCAGGGTCCAAACCGTAGATCTACGTCATGAGCTCAGCTCACTCTGATAAACTGTGAGTGGTACATTTGGGCCTAGATATGAGAGAATACATCTATGTGGTATGTGTGCACCACATAAAACAGATCCTGCAGCACACTGTGTATAATGAGAGAGAAAAACTGAAATCATGATTTTTCGATTAAAACAGTGACTTTGCAGTGTTTTTTCGTATGTTTTTTATAGTTGTATTTGCGATTTCTTGGTCTCATTTGATAGAATGGAAGACATGTTACAGAAATAGAGATAATTTTGATTGGTTTTAGCACTGGAAATGGCTTGAAACTGAGCTCAAAGTAGCAGAAATGTTAAATTTTTGCCGATATTCAAGAGTAAATAAACGACCTCACACATCTAATACACGTCAGCTGGTGGGTCTAATATGCATTCACAAATATGGTGATGATATCTGTACAATTATTACAGTATTGCATAACAGTAAATCTTCTATTTTTTGGTGTGAATAAAAATTCATTATGTGAATAAAAAATAAAAATGGAATTTATTTGTAAAGCCTCAAAACGTAACTAATGAACAGAGGAAAGTTAGTTTAGTTCCAGGAATACCTACATTGTTTATTCTGGACCCTATTTTGAAATTGGAATATTTTGAACTTTGTGTTAAATTGGCCAAATTAACAATTTCCGATCACTTTAATTTGTAGTTGAAACAGTTGACTTGGCGATTTCTTGTGCATCAAGAATAATTGGTTAAGTTGGAATGAATATGTAATTGGCCTAAAATGGGAGTCAAAGTCGGCAAAATCGCCAATTCGTAAATATCGCTGACACATCAAAATTCGCGAGAGCATAATTTCGTCAATTTTCCATCAAATTTCGTACTTTTTGTTTTATTACCTTCACAAAAAGATTCTCTACCATTTCATAAGAAAAAATAACAAATTTTTTTTTTGAAAATTCTTGGACACTGGGGCACCACTTCAAATTTGGGCCTTGGACCCTGAAGGGGTTAAGTGACACTATGCAGTAGAACCTCGGTTGTCGACTGCATTATCTGTCGAACAAATCGATTTTCGAATGAGGAATTCGAGAAAAAAAAAAGTCTTGGTTTTCATATGTTCTCTTGGTTGTTGAGTGACAATGCAAACGGCTCAGGTCACACACTCACTGACTCGTGTGCAGTAAACATCTTGAGCTTTTGATGTGCATCTTGTGAACTTTTTTTTGTTATTTTGCAGTTTTGGTGCAATTTTTTTATTGAGAGATAAGCCATCATTTGTCCAAAGGAGGACCATTTCAATATCCTCACCTGCTTGAGGTTTATAGACAAAGCCTGGAATATTGCTGCACACTAACAGCACCTTTCAAGGCAGGTGAAATTACTGACCTAGAAAATGTACAGAGAACTCTCACGGTGCGCATAACAGATAAAACACCTCAATTACTGGGAGCGCTTGAGGTTCCTAAACCTGTATTCCCTGGAATGCAAGCGGGAGAGATACATGATTATATACACCTGGAAAATCCTAGAGGGACTAGTACCAAACTTGCACACGAAAATCACTCTCTACGAAAGCAAAAGACTTGGCAGACGATGCAACATCCCCCCAATGAAAAGCAGGGGTGTCACTAGCACGTTAAGAGACAACACAATAAGTGTCAGGGGCCCGAGACTGTTCAACTGCCTCCCAGCATACATAAGGGGGATTACCAATAGACCCCTGGCTGTCTTTAAGCAGGCACTGGACAAGCACCTAAAGTCGGTACCTGACCAGCCGGGCTGTGGCTTGTACGCTGGATTGCGTGCAGCCAGCAGTAACAGCCTGGTTGATCAGGCCCTGATCCACCATGAGGCCTGGTCACAGACCAGGCCGCAGTAACGTTGACCCCCGGAACTCTCTCCAGGTAAACTCCAGGTAAACGTGTCTTCCAGGACAATGTAGTCAGCATGGAAGGAATTGTGGCCTGACTTTATGACAGCCAGGGATTTTGAATGCTTTGAAGATGAGCCTGAGCTAGTAGAGGATAGTGTGGAAGACTTTGAGCTTAGAGGTGACTAAAGATGATGGGGAGGAGTTGGTGGAGGAGCACAGAACTGAACTCACCACAAGAACTTGAAAGGAGAAGCAACAACAGATTGCGGCTGAGAAGCTGTCATCAGAGTAAGAGGAAGGAAGGGATGATGTGCCCATTGCACTAGTCAAGGATATGTGTGCTAAATGGCATGAAGTGCGGGACTTTGCTGAAAAATACCATCCACACAAAGTAGTGGCCATCCATCTCTCTAACATGTACAATGACTGTAATGTCTCAATTTAGACAGTGTTAGAACAAAGCCCAAAACAAACCTCAATGAACAGGTTTTTAGTGAGACAAAGAACCAGTTAGCCATAACAAGGTGTTAATGGTGAAAAGATACAAAGAAGAGAAACAACACCGGAAGCACAGTTGCCTGACATATTACCAGAAGGCGACTCTCCTTCCATGCAGTAACATACCCCCTCCTCTCCACCACCTGCTTCCTGTATGCCATTGACTCTCCTCTGACAGGTAAGAGGCGATTAAATTTTAATTTACTGTACAGTATTTCGGTTAAAGTTTCTTTTAATATTCATTTTTACAGTTTTATGCAGTAGTTAGTACACTTTTAATAAATTATTACATTGTCATTTGGGGTCTGGATTAATTCTATTTACATTATTCTTTATGGGAAAAATTGCTTTGGATGTCTTCCATTTCAGTTGTTGAATCGACACGTGGAACAAATTAAATTTGACAACCGAGGTTCCACTGTATAAAGTAAATTAATGCTATCTTTGAAAAAGCCTGATAATAATAATAAATGTCTTCTTTTCTGCAGCATCCAGGTGATGTAGTTTACATATTATAAAGTACAGTGGAACCTCTAATTATGAGTGCATCCACATGCGAGTTTTTCCAGATACGACCAGTCGTTTGGTCGATTTTTTGCTTCCAGACGCGAGCAAAATTTCCAGATGCGAGCGGGCCTCAAGGGAGGTTCCTTGACACTGGTGAGGGGCTCTTGCTTTTGACCTAGGGAATTGGATCTCAGTTGTTTGTTGGACTATCTTATTGAAACTTGGGCAAAGTATGATGGAAAGATGCTTCTTAACATACACCAAAAATGAAAGAAATCGGACCATAAATAACAGAGTTCACTTCTCAGCCATTAGCCTCCCCTTAGCGGTACATTTTCGAATGGTTATTATGGTTGTATTCTTGTTTTCTTGGCTTCATTGATAGAATGGAAGATATACTACAGATATAAATATGATTTTGATTGGTTTCACAATGAAAAGTACCTTGAAATTGAGCTCAAAGTAGCAGAAATGTTCGATTCTTCGGCGATGTTCAGGAGTAAACAAATGATGTCACCATCCAATACCTGTTCAATTGGCACTGCCCCTCAACCTTCACATATTGGAAAGCTCTTTAACACGCTAGCAAAAGTGGGAGCAGACATCATGAGGTAGCAGTGGCAGCCAACATGAAGCAGCAGTGGCAGACATCATGAAGCAGCAGTGGTAGACAACATGAAGCAGCAGTGGCAGACATAAAGCAGCAGTGGCAGACATGAAGCAGCAGAGGCAGACAACATGAAGCAGCAGTGGTAGACATGAAGCAGCAGTGGCAGAAATCATGAGGTAGCAGTGGCAGACAAAATGAGGTAGCAGTGGCAGACAACATGAGGTAGCAGTGGCAGACAACATGAAGCAGCAGTGGCAGACAAAATGAGGTAGCAGTGGCAGACAACATGAAGCAGCAGTGGCAGACCTTGTTGTACCCTATAGTATAAGTGAGCTTCCAAACGCCACCACGAGATAGCAGTACGTATCAAAACAATGCTCAGTCCACTCCACTTGCTGTGGAGGGAATTCTCATGTTTTCCTTAAGTTTTGTGCAGTTATTTTGTGAAATTTCTTGTTTCTTACCATGGGTCCTAAGAAAGCAAGTGCAAAGGACAGTGCTGAGAAGAAAAAGAGGATGATTTCCTTGGAATTAAAGCAGAAAATCATAAACAGACTAGGTGGAGGGTTAAGGACTTGGCCATGCAGTACCAGCATACCATTTCTACAATATATACAATACTAAAGCAGGAGTCAGAGACAAAGTGTAACATTAAGAGTGTAGTAATTATAAGTCACTCTGTTGACTTTTTTGGGTTATCCTAGGTGCTCTACACATGTAGTCAGGAGCAGGAATGGCCGCTGTGGTGGCCCTATAAACCCCAACAACATGGCCGCTGTCACCACCACTAGCCACATACGTAATAACATGTATTTTATTCATTCTAGTGTATATACGTATCATGTTTCTATGTTATTAATATTGTTTATTGTGTCATATTAGATGAACTGTGATAGATAAATAAGCCATAGAGTTGCTATTAGGGAAATTTTGTCGTGCCTGGAATTCCACTGGAACAGATTAATTCCATTTCAACTAATTTAAATGAGGAAAATTGACTCTGCAAATGAGCAAATCCAGATGCAAGCAAGGTCATGGAACTGATTAAACTCATAAGTAAGGTTTCACTGTATTGTTAGGCACAAAAGAAAGCCACCAGCATTCAGTGAAGTTCAGGTAAACTAATCCTAATGCTGAAAGACTATTTAAGACTACGTACATAAGTGAGGAAGCATTGAGTTATGCTCAAAATCTTGGTAGTTGGCAATGTGAACTTTCCTCCAGCACAAATTGGGCCTAAGGGATGAATGTTTGCAGAGTGCACCTCCTCTCACCCACACCACCTATGGTTCCTTTATGGAAATGATTTTGGATATTTTCATCACTACATATACAGTAATTTCTGGATATTAGGTAAAAAAAAAATATTAGTGATGCTAAAGGTGGCAAGAATAAGAATAATCATGAATCTCTGACAGTATTGAAGAAAATATATTTTTTTAGATATGTGATACAGAATGCCTGCACCTTTATTAAGAGAGAATTCACCATCCATATAATTAAAGACAATGAGAAGAAAATAAGAGCCAGCTTGAGACTTGGTGAAAAGAATATCAAAGACGGAATACTGCAGGGTAAATCAGACCAGAGATGCATTACGGTAGTCATCAGCTACTGACAACTCTTCATCCACATCGTCACAACTACCACCTTTGATATACTTTTGATATCTGCATAATTTTCCAACAGACATTCAATAGCAAGCATTCAATGCACAATTTTAGCACTAAGACAGCAAAAAAGAAGACTGCAGATGGCTGCCCTTTAGTGATGGGCATCATATACTCCCCAGGTAAGATTGGACTAAAAGTGCTTCTACAAGTAGAAAAGATCATACAAGATTTAGTCCATGACTAGATAAAGCAGCAGCATCACTTACTGAAGGTAGGAGGGCCAGTTGACCTTCTGCAAGCGGATCTCATTTGCTCGCTGCACCAAAACACTTGTTGCTCCAGCCACACCTGGGGTATAGTAAGATTTATGTTTGACAAATCCTTATACAAGAAATATCAATATTTAATCATAAACTTTTCAAAATAGAAGATAAAATCATAAGATTTAACCCATTCAGGGTTTTGGCCGTACTAGTATGGCTTACGTGCCAGGGTCCTTGACGTACTAGTACTCATAAATTCTAGCGCCTTCAAATCTAGTGAGAGAAAGCTGGTAGGCCTACATATGAAAGAATGGGTCTATGTGGTCAGTGTGCGCAGTATAAAAAAAAATCCTGCAGCACACAGTGCGTAATGAGAAAAAAAAAACTTTGACCGTGTTTTTGGATTAAAACAGCGACTTTGCACTGTATTTTCGTATGGTATTTATTGTTGTATTCTAGCTTTCCTGGTCTCATTTGATAGAATGGAAGACATATTACAGAAATTGAGATGACTGACTGGTTTTACAATGAAAAGTACCGTGAAATTGAGCTCAAAGTAGCAGAAATGTTCGATTTTTACCAAAGTTCAAAAGTAAACAAATCATGCTAAGTGTCCAATACACGTCAACTGGTGAGTCTAATATTCTTTCACAAGTGCACCGATATTATTTATACCATTTCTGCACTAATGCAGTAGTCTGCATAACAGTAAATCTTCTATTTATTGTGAGAATAAAAATTCAAAATGGAAAGCAAAAGAATGTAAGAGGGGCGTGGGGACGTGACTAATGAGCAGAGGAAATGTTATTTTAGTGCCAGGAATGTCTTTCTTGTTTATTCTGGACCCTATTTGGAAATTGGCATCTTTTGAAATTTGTGTGAAATTGGCAAAATTGCTAAATTCTGACCACTGTATTGGATAGTTGAAATTGGTAAATGGGTAGTTTCTTGTACTCATTCGATAGAAAACATTGAGTTCTAGTGAAATACGTATGATTTTTGTCGACTACTAAACTGGAATTGACCGAAAATAGGGCTCAAAGTGGGCAAAATCGCCGATGCGTAAACATTATCGAGACCGCTAACTTCGCGAGAGCATAATTCCGTAAGTTTTCCATTAAATTTCATACTCTTGGTGTCATTATGATCGGGAAAAGATTCTCTATCTTTTCATAAGACATTTTTTTTTTTTTTTTTTTTTGAAATTTGGGGGACCCTAAGAACAAGTCTCTGAGAGGGCCTGTGGACCCTGAAAGGGTTAATGTACACTTACAGGAATGGTTAAATAACTTTTTTTTTTTCCATCAAACCGGCCATATCCCACCAAGGCAGTGTACCCTAAAAAGAAAAACGAAAGCTTCTCTTTTTAATTTTAGTAATGTATACAGGAGAAGGGGTTATTAGCCCCTTGCTTCTGCCATGTAAGTAGCCTCTTATGATACGCATGGCTTACGGAGGAAGAATTCTGTTGCACTTCCCCATGGAGATAAAAGGAAATAAGTAAGAACAAGAACTAGTAAGAAAATAAAAGAAAACCCAGAGGGGTGTGTATATATATGTTTGTACATGCATGTGTAGTGTGACCCAAGTGTAAGTAGCAAGACGTACCTGATATCTTGCACATTTATGAGACGGAAAACAGACACCAGCAATCCTACCATCGTGTAAAATAATTACAGGTTTCTGTTTTACACTCACTTGGTAGGACGGTAGTACCTCCCTGGGCGGTTGCTGTCTACCAACTTACTATCTAGGAATGATAACATACATTCTGTAATACGCAGGTAAATAAGCATTATTACTAACGTATGGATGAATGAAGTAAAATTTCCTTAGATAACTACAAACTGTAGAACAGAACCAGCAAAACACCTCAACCACAAGTCAATAATTACAAAAAAAAAAAAAAAAAAAAAAAAAAAAGATTGTCAAAAGGAGTGAGTTTTCTGAGGAAGTATTTTTGGGATATGATGTGAACTTAATATCATAGCTAAGTTTGAAACATGCACAAGTGTTGCATGTCTTTCTCATCTTCTGGTCAATATTGTGTAAATAATATGGCCATGAATAACAACAGTTATAAAAATGTTATAAAACTTGCCTAAGTGTCCTCAAAAGAAATTCTGCTCCTATTTGTAGACATCAATGCCTTAGGCTTCATTCACAAAGACATGACATTCATAGAAAGAGTTGTGACATTTTTCTGAAACCTATTGATAATTTCAGGGACCACTGCTCCTACGTGACCTGACTGGTGACCGAGTCAGATAAGGTGTTGGTACTCAATGCACAGTCTAAAATGGGTGCTACAGCCCAAGTGATAAGAAAAAGTATGCAAAAGCTTCTCAAATTCATTCTTGATGACAGTTGTGTTTAATACGTGTCTCCAACCACTCTGTTTACAAGCTTAGCTGACACCAACATCTCAGGATTTTAAGCCTTGACCATGTCTTTCCTTTCTTTATTTCCAGGGTAGTCAAATTAAATCGAGTCTTTACAGATATCCCATTCCTTACACTGCAAAACATTTGTTTCAGCTCACTGGTTCTTCTATAACTCTGTCACATGCTTTATCAGGCGAGGATTCCATTCTGTGGCAGCATATTTTATAATGGGCCTCTTGTATGTTATATATAGTGTCCTAAATTACTCCTTATATAGGTTCATATACACTGCTGATTTTATCTTATTTATGTGCACCTCTGACGATATGTTTGATATAATACTTAAACCCGAAGCCATTTTCTTCTGTTACGCCATTAAGCAAAAGTAAAGTTTACTTTCCATGGTGTAATATAGTATAGTATGATATTATACAGTGATACCTCGACTTACGAGTGCCCCAACTTACAAGTTTTCTGAGTTATGAGCCATCACTCGGTCGATTTTTTGCTTTGAACTATGAACCAAAATCCAAGTTACAAGCGAACTTCTGATACGCCTGCCACTAGTTGGTGCAGTAAACGCCACAACATCCGCCCAGCATCCCAGCGTTTTGTTCAGTTATTTTGCCAAATTTCTTTTTTCTAACCATGGGTCCTAAAAAAGTATGTGCAAAGGACAGTGCTGAGAAGAGAAGAATGATGTTCATTGAATTAAAGCATGAAATCATAGAAAAGCATGAGAAAATTGCTTTTGTTTCAGTGTTTTCCTTATGAAACTAGTGATCTAGTACAGTCAGCCCCACAAATACTCTATTTTCTCTTATAATAAGACCTCAGAAGGGCAAGAATGGGAAGATATGGTCAGAGCAATAATTATTTTTACCTCAGGAGTGGCCGCCACCACTTGTCACATAATGACATACATATACGTACTATGTAAAGTAAAAGAACATAAGTGCAACTAATGTGACATTTTATTGTGGCAACGTTTCGCTCTCCAGGAACTTTGTCAAGCTGTTACAAACAATGCATGGACACAGAGGGTATATATAGACTTAGAGTGAGTGGTAGTAGTAGTAGTGATACAATATGGTAGAAAAATTAACTTGCACATGAGTAAAAGGATATAAAATCTATTACTTGGGTAGCATAAAAATAATAGGTTAGACAAATATTTCTATTGGAGGTTGAATTAGAGAAGGCCTGTTTCAGTGTTCATCCTTTGTAATGTGCCTGTGTAGCATTAGCAGGAGAGACTATGTGATCGCAGGGTTTACTGTTTTCAGAAGGATTCTTGCTAAGACTTCAGATATGGTGAAGCTGCCTTTGTTTTGTTTAATTGCATTAGAAACAGCGATTAGTGATGATTCAAGGCACTTGCATCTGTGGAAATTAGTTTCTTTGTCCATGCAGTGTTTGTAACGGCCTGACAAAGCTCCTGGAGAGTGAAATGTTGCCACAATAAAATGTCACATTAGTTGCACTTGTGTCCTTTTACTTTACATATTGTCGGTAATTCTACCAGCAAATATACATACATATTCTATTCATTCTAGAGTATATATCATGTTTCTATGTTATTTACATTGTTTATTAAGTCATATTAGATCAATTGTGATAGATAAATAAGCCACAGTGTTGATATTAGCGTTATACTGAAGTATTTTCTCCTGCTTCCCGAGAGCCAGGAATTCCGCTGGGACTGATTAATGGCATTTGTTAATTTCAATGAGGAAAACTGATTTTATATATGAGCAAATTGAGTTACAAGCTCGGTCACTGTAGCACTCTATATTGTACCACTGTACAGTGGACCCCCGCATAACGATATTACAGTGGACCCCCGGTTAACGATTTTAATCCGTGCAAGAGGGGTAATTGTTATGCGAAATAATCGTTATGTGAATGAATTTTCCCCATAAGAAATAATGGAAATAAAATTAATCCGTGCAAGACACCCAAAAGTATGAAAAAAAAAAATTTTACCACATGAAATATACATTTTCCCACACACAAAGAGAAGGATACATGCACAATAGTAGAGTAGTACATGCACAGTATATATTGTGCATGTACTAGTCTACTAAATGAAGAATAAATGACACTTACCTTTATTGAAGATGCAGCAATGACTGATGAGACACTGTGTCCTGGGAGTGCCTTTTCCTCCTGAGTACTGTAGGTCCTGTTTGGCATTTTCTTCCAGAACAGGCCTTATCAAACAACCTTTGCTGGCTTTAAATTCACCAATATGAGCACTAGTTCCAGGCATTTTTCCCTGTTCACCTGGGTGTTAGTCGACTTGTGTGGGTTGCATCCTGGGAGACAAGATTAAGGACCCCAATGGAAATAAGTTAGACAGTCTTCGATGACACTGACTTTTTTTGGGTTATCCTGGGTGGCAAATCCTCTGGGTTAATTGTTTCTTGGTATTTCAATAAGCCACACCAACAACGGTGCTACAGCAGCAGCAGCAGCTGACAGTGCAGCAGCAGCAGCAGCTGTACCACCAATAGTAGCGATGGTTGATTGGGTTTATTATACAACCTGGCCAGCTCGGAGACATGCACTCCACTTTCATACTTATCAATGATCTTTTTCTTCATCTCTATTGTAATTCTCACCTTATTGCTGTAGGGTTGGCACTAGAAGCTTTCTTGGGGCCCATGGTCACTTATTTTTCCAGAAAAAGCACCGAAAA